CCCCCCCTCGTTAATAATGCTCCCCCCTCCCTCCTTTCCTTCCAAGCCCCCTCACCTGCTGGCATCTGTGCAGGGAGGAGGCACATCATCCATCATTCGGCCGGAGTTTGGAACTGACAGAGCTCTGGCCGGAGCTGACAAGAGCAGCTATGCGGTCTGCATCCGATAGATGGCTTCAATGCACCGCTGCGCCCCCTCCCGCCCCTGAACACAGGGAGCAGACCGGCTTGCGTTCCAGAGGCTGAACGCACTGGAGAGCGGACTTTGTGGTGTGAACCGGCCCTTAAACCCTTTCTCTCTAGTGCTTGTGATCTGTATTGATACATCACTCTTAATACTCACTGCAAATAATATTGACCCTTTACATTCTAACATCAGCACCCATTTGCCAAGAACTGTTGGCCCTTTCCAGGGCCATCAGTTGTGAAACAGTTTATTATTGACAGGTCATTAATATCTGTGTGGTTTTCTGCTGTCTAATGTAGGAGATGTACTGTAAGAAACCACAGAAAAGTGTAAAAATTATACATTTTTGTAAGGTTCAGTTTACATTAAAAAAAAATCTGTTTTGCTTATATTTAGCAGTGATCCCCTCTGTTTGCTCTTTAAAGGTAATGGTAGTGCACAAAAACACACATCAAGTGCAATTACAGCGTTTCACAATAGTTTTCATTACAGTTGAATTTAAGTCAAAAGCAATGATAAACAATGACAAAAGGAATAACAATTGCCACTCCGACAGCCATTCACATGTAATCACACATTCCTTGATTACCTGTTTATTATTGCCTCTGGACACACAATGTCTGCTTCCAGGTGCCATCAGTTGCAGGTAATTACAGCATGTGCGATTAAATGCAAAAGACATCAAATGGCTGCGAACACTGGCAGCTGTCATTGTATACCACTTCCTGCCCGCAGCTGTTTATGTGAGTCTCACAGAGAAATTTGTGAGACTCATGGGATCGATTGTATTCACAAGTGTGAATGGGGCCTTCATCCGGCCAGTAAGTCTGTTATTTTTCAACTTCCTTTAACTAACCAAGTTAA